TAGCATGAAGAGGCAGGTGGTCACAACCTGAGGCATGTGAAACAGAATATGAGGAGACAAAGGAACATAAATCATCAACGGTAATCTGAGAAAAACTGAAGGAAGGAGTATCAGGCACTATGGATGAGATGATATCGGAAAATTGAGATTCAGTACAAGAAGGAAAGCAATTGGAGATGGAGGCATAGTGAGCATTCAGAGTGTCACGTGAGAAGTAGTTAAGTGGTGAGGATAAGGGCGATTCGATGAGGCCGAGATTAGCGAGCTCACGCCATAGCCTGGATGGGGTAGAAATCGCGGTTAACCTCGTCATGTTGAAGCGTTCTCTAGCCTTCCTCAATTCCACCGTGAGATTGTTCCTAAACTGCTTATAAATGTGAAAATCAAGAACAGAACCTGATCTTCGGGCAATATTATATAAACGGTTGCGATGCCGAATTCCACGAGCGAGAGCATCTGTGAGCCAAGGTGCTGGAGGACGATTCACGTGAAAAGTGCGGATGGGCGCATGCTTGTCTAGACTAAAAGTGAAATCTTTGGTTATGGTGTTTAGGATGTCGTCCAAATCAGGCCCACTCAGGCTCTCCTGGCCAAAGTCTACCGCGAAAGATGAGGACAACGTGGAGGTTAGAGTTTCGACGAATCTATGGCCGTCAAATTCCTTGTAACTGCGACGAGTCAGTGTTCGTTCCGTGGGGGACGGAACCGTAAATAAATACGTAAGCTCAATAAGGTCGTGACCGTTGATAAAAGGTGCATCAGACTTACGAAAAGAAACCTTGTCCAAGCTATCAACGATAAAAACGTCCAACCATGAGTCAGAAGAGCTAGTGTGATAAGTCGTATGCGACTCCACAATGTTGAGTGACAATTGCGAGACTATGTCTCTGAGATGATTGGATTCATACGATGAGGAGAGGAGGTTGCAATTTAAATCGCCCGAAATAATAATGTTCCTGTAATCATACATAACAGAAGTAAGAGTGTCAACGTATGTACTGAAATTTTTACCTCTCGGCCTACGATACATAGAGGTAAAAAGGAGAGGCTCGCAGGCGTCGCCACGAACGTCGAGAACAAGAAATTCAGGTTCATTAGAGAAGGACGGAGGCAACGACGCCAAGACGCGAGCACGCAGCAAGTCATGGATATAGCAAGCGACACCCCCTCCCTCCCTGCCCTCCCTGTCCACTCGTAGCAGACAATAACCAGGGATGCGAACTAAGTCATCAGAAATGTGCGAGTGAAGCCAGGTTTCAGAAATAGAGATTATGTGAAAAAAGTTTGACGTTACAAAAGCCTGGATTGACTCAATATGGGCAGGAAGGGAGCAGGCATTGAAGCACGCGACCTTGAGACAACCACGCGAAGCAGAAGGAACCACAGCTGCCGTCGAAAGTCACTGGAGCTTGTCGAGATCAGCCTCGGAGGCAATGGTGATTAGAGGCAGGCCACGGTCCTTGCGGACAAAAATTCGCCCGTCGTTACTCCAAACGTGCTTGAACGACAGCTGTCTCGCCCTGACCCGCGCTTGACGCAACAGCTTATAGGTGTGAGTCGGGAGCAATTCGTTGACGTAGATATTGCCAGGTACGCCAGTAGAGAAAACGTCACCGACAGCGAGTCGGCGCTTGCCGCGCATGATTTTAACTATGTGATCTCGGATCTCGCGTGACTTGAGCGCAACAATGACCGACCTCCTCCGACCCTCGGCGTCAGCATCGGCGGCAGGGGCGCCCGCAGACACGGCACTACGATCTGACGACGCAATACGCGCCGCAACGTCACGAGTCTCGAGAACGTCGGAAGTCAATTGAGATACCCAGCGCACGAAATACACTCGCAACTACCTCGCGAGATGACTCGGTAAAAGAAAATGGGATACCGGAAATTATAAGGTCCGACGTTCGAGGGACACGTGACGCAGCAGACGATTCGTCCTCCGTCTCATCGCGGGCACGGGGGACAAGCTGAGAGGCCTTTAGAGCCTGGACATCACGCGCCAGAGCAGCGCTTTCTTGCTCAAGCTTGTCAATGCGCTGGGTGTTCAGCGCGACAGTGTCCGCGATGAGACTGAGTCTGTTCAATTTATCATTAATCTCGCGATTCGTACGTCGTTGCTCGTCAACGAAAGCAGAGAGCTTGGCATCGGAATCACTTAACTGCTCACACAGCTTCTGGAACATGACGTGGATTGCAACGTGCTCCTGGGATTGAGTCTGCGCCGGAAAGCATGATGATCCACCCGAAAAATCAAAGGTGTGCGCCCCCGCATCGACAGCCGGTGAAAGAGGGTTGTCAAGTGAAGCCGATAGAGATTTGCAGCAAGTATGTGCATACTTGGTTGCAGCATAAGGCCTGATACAGCCGGGATGGAACACCCTCTTGCACTCCGTGCACTCGAGTACCAGGTTGGCAATCGTCTTTTTGCACTTGACACACGTTCGCGATTCCATGCTTAAAGCCCCTTGCACAATGCCAGGCAACAGGCAATAGGAACAGGAAATAACCAAAAAATCGTTAATTACAACCTAAAAAATTCAAATGCTATGATTGGTTGGCAATAGGCAATAGGCAATAGGCACAGAATTTCCAACGTGACGGAAACTCTGTGTCTATTGCCTGTGTCACTGTTTATTCTGCATTTATACATGATTTCTGATTTCTATTCCCTGTTCCTATTGCCTGTTGCTTGGCATTGTGCAAGGGGCTTTACACTCAGATGGTCAGAGTTACACGTTGCGACCAAGAAGTCGAGTGACAGGGACTCCTAGTACGGCAAGCACGCGCGCTCCAGAGACACTGCCGGCCAATAGCAGCAGCTCACGCGTACCAACACTACTATCCACTAGCTGGGCGAACGCCGCAAGGAACAGCAGAGTGCAGATGATAGAGTGTAGAGAGAGAGAGAGAGAGAGAGAGAGAGAGAAGGGCATAGGGAGAAGGAGAGAGAGAAAGAGAGAGAGAGAGAGAGAGAGAGAGAGAGAGAGAGAGAGAGAGAGAGGGAGAGAGAGAGAGGTAACGCGTATTTTTGTATTACATATATTTTTATGTACATATATTTTTATATAGAGACATATTTGTACAATCCAATATTTTGCTACAATGTAACTATATAAATAAAATGCCAGCATCATAATCTCGTAAAACGATTCTTCTTTTCAATAACGCCGAGGTCACTCAATTTGGCAATATTGAGCATCTATAATCAAAAGCGATAAATGTACGTATTAGGGCCCGGAGACACACTTTTTCGTAACAGTAACAGTAAAGATTCGACCAATCGCGTTGCTCGAAACTTTACTGTTACTGTTACGAAAAAGTGTGGGTCTGGGGCTTTAGGCCGATTCTCTTTTGCAACGATAAAATTTTCATACATCTGACTCGCCTTTCTGTCGATTATTCTTACCAGGTGTTACAGATACTATCCAATCGATAAAAGCCCCTGTACGCATCGCGACAGCAGGAGTGTCTGAAGCACAACCAACACCGGAAGATGTAATACCAACCAATACAAGCTTGTGCGTTGTAGGATCTTGCCATAGAAGAGGTCCACCGCTGTCCATCTATGGCACGCAAAGAGAAAGAAATAGAATCTCTATGACTTGCGGATAATTTTTACATCACGATTCTTAAATAATACATTTTACACAAATTTGCCATATCATTTAAGTTCAAAAGATGAAATAACTATCTCTTCACCTGACATGTATCCTTTCCTGGAGTAAAAGTACACATATTACTGTAATTTATACCAGAATAATATTCTTTGCAGTTTTTAAGAGTTATTACATTTAATTTCACTTCTTGAAGCGTAGTCGATTTTTGGCCAGTAAATTCCAGTAAACCCCAGCCTAATGCGAGTGAATGAGATTAAATCATATAATTGTATAGATCGATATCGATAACCGTGGAAATACTCAAGAAATACTAACCCAACACAGTGACGATATCACCAGCAAACGAGTCTTGTTTATGTTGAAATGGTAAGCAGACCGGACCAACTTGAGCGTTATATTCGATTTTACGAGCAATCTTACAAACAGCTACATCGTTGTGAGCATACTGAGCATCTTGCAGGTTACTGAACCCAGGATGAATTGTGCAGTTGTCCAGGCGGAACAGCCTGGTTGCGTTAGTATCCCTACCTACCCGCAATGTATATTACAAGTACAAGTTTTGTTTTGTATAAATCTAATGTAATCTAATAAGATTTATATGTATACACGATATGTGTGTGTGTGTGTGTTTGAAAAGTTGCCAGACTGATTTTTTGAAAGACGTATGCAATTCCTCAAAACCAATACTGAAACTAGATAGTGTCAACCTTTCTGAGTCTCTCATAATTTTTTTATTGCGTTGAGTGCAGTAGTCTTTGGTAGCATTAAAAGATTGTTTGTTTTTGTGCATTTGTCAAGATTTCAAGAACGGAGCAATGGCCTGCGATTAAATTTTGCTTTAAAAGTGGAAAAACTGCGACAGAAACGTATCAAATAATGCGAAAAGCATACGGTAGTGATTGTCTTAATCGTACAGTAGTGTTTCTGTAGTTTAGGCTTTAGGCGATTCAAAGAAGCAGGTCATCAGTCACTCGAAGACAATGAGACAATGCTCATCTTTTTTTATTCGCGTAGTATGGTGCACCGGGAACTTGTATGTACTCCAAGAGCAGACAGAGTCAATTAATGAACTAGATCGACTATCGCTATCGAGATGTTTAGAGATCGACTTTTGAAGCAAATTTGGCGTTCTAGGCCCGAGTTTTACTAATCGGATAAATGATTTCTTCTGCATGACAACGAACCCGCTTGTTCGTTAATCATCGTCTTTCAATTTTTGGTTAAAAAAATGTGACCATCATCACGACCCGCACCCGTCGTATTCGCCAGATTTGATACATTTTTGTTCCCCGAAATAAATTTGGCGATGAAAAAGACTTACACACACACACACATAAAATTACTTTTAAATAAATTTATATTAGAAACAGAAAGTAACTATGAGATATAATTTGATATTATTGCAACTGTAAACAGAAATTTTATTTGCTTTATATCCTTTACTTCTAAATATATATTAATTACATGTGTATAAAAAGATTTTAACAATTACCTGTGGTTGTATCATGTTCACCAACGACTGCGCCCAATATAGTAATGTTTCTTCCATCTATGCAATGGGCTGCCGTTATTACGTACTCTTTAGATATTATGGTACAACCGCAATATATAATTTTGTCTACAGAATTAACGAGGCCACACATCATGGGATATTCATTTACCCCTGTTTCCTTACCGCCTACTATCCTGGTCTAAGTATAAGCAATGCAAATAATGACGGATACTTTATTTTCAATACTTAACTTAGCATTCTTAATAAATTGTTGCATAATTGATTAAAGCCAAATTATTAAGTAACGATAAATAAATAGCAAATAAACTTTCCATAATAAGAAGAAGTAACATCTCACAAAAATTAATTTAAACTTACTACTTTTTTCCAGCCACAATTGCAGTTATTTGACGTTTGAATCTGGCATAAAAATCGACCATTCGAGTTATATTGCGAGTCGAATTTTATAGTCGGATTTGTTCCATTGAGAACAAATGTATTTTTACCACAATAGTTAAATACCTCACCATCAGCAAATAGAATAGAAAGTCTCCCTTGAAAACAGTTAATATTACTCTATAAAAGAATTTATTAAATTATTTCTTCCTTTCTCGTCTTGTTTCTAACAGCTCTGGTAATAATATTATGCTTGAGAACTCAATTAAAGATATGTCTATACATAAATTTCGAAAATATTCATATAACATACTTACCATTTCAATAGAACAGCTTATTTTGGTATTATAGGGACTTGCCATTTTCCAAATGCAATGATTTTCACCATGGTACTCCTTGGGATACTCGGGATTATATACATAATATGTTTGTCCAGCTTCCAAATTTTGAAAATAATTGCAATCAGATTCAACTCCATTTAGTATTGAGAGTGACAGCAATAAGCCGAATAAAACTACCTGGACTAGAATAATTTTACTTGCTTTATAATTATATTGATAAAATTCCGTATTATAATATAGAGTTTTGAATATGGCATTTACGATATTTATTAAGCTCTTTTGACAATATTTACTGATAAAGTTTAACATTTCTTTTTGACTAATAACAAATACGTGATTATAAATTTTTATCTTCTAACCTAGAAGATAAAAATGACAATAAGATAGGTATATGAGAGGGAAGGGGTATATCACCTATACCGTGACCTTGTATGTAACAGTACAGTAACAGTATAGTTTTATAAGTAAATATAAATGGTACCTAATATTCCTGTGTGTGTGTGTGTGTGTGTGTGTGTGTGTGTGTGTATTTGTGTGTATTATTGTATATTATTTATTAAGTATATTGTGTATTGTTTTATTATTGATATGTACACAAATAACAATTAAAGTTTCTTTGAATTGTTCGAAATTACTATAAAAAAAAAGAAACTGAAAATTCGAACATAGGTTATTTACAAAACTATTCTTAAAATCTATATATTAATAATAAAAAAAATGTATTATTAAATCTATAAATTTTCTTAAAATTTATATATTTATTAAATATATTACGTTGCATTATTATATGTTTAAATAATATTAAAAATATATATTTTATAGGAAACGTAGAAATCACTATTTTCATATATTTTCATATATATTACATTAATTGCTTAACAAAAAATTACTTTTTTTCGAGCACAAGAACAAAACTTGTAGCATCCGTTAGTTTTTTGGACACTCTGAATACGATTTCGTTTGCTTATTTACTACATTACGTTACAATTTTGAAAAATTTATAGTTAAAGTTACAAAAATGGGCTATTTTATTAGAGAAATTTAATTCAATCAAAAAATGGAATTTGTTGTGTCGATTATGGTTAAAAAGATATTGATGATTAACGTAGAGTCTATATTGTGTCAAAGATGCGACTTACGCATAGAGCTATTAAGGACCTATAAAATATATTTTAACTGATGTCAAAGTTTATAAATTAAAAATGGCATTATTGGCAAAATGGATTGCAATTAAACTTCTCCAACACGCCACATATCTTAGTCATGATATGCCAAAATACATTAAAATAGCCTATTTTTTGCAACTTTAATTGTAAATTTCTCGAAATTGTGACGTGATGGAGTAATTTGACGGGATCATATTAAGCGTCCAAAAAAACTACCAGATGTCACAAGATTCGTTTTTGTGGTTTTATTGTTAAACAGTGTTATTGATCCAAGTATATTATTTTATTATTACTAATTATTATCACTAAACATATTATTGTATGTAATATAATATACTCTATAAAAATGTATGTGTATGTGCGTGCGCGCGCGTTTGTACAAAGTAGATTGAAATTTAGGCTTAAACATTTAAGCAAAAATAACAATCAAACTTTTTTTGTTGTATAACAAGCGCTCGTTTATCGAGTATAAGTAAATTGAAATTGATAAGAATTACGTTTGCTTCGTAAGCTTTGCTTAGCTGGGTCACATCTGTTTCTTTAAGTTGTAAAGAGGTGAATTATATGAAAGTATTAAAACTAAAATTTTAATATAAAATACTCTGTTGTTATTTTCTAATTTATGTGTATAACTCAACCAAACGTTTGACATACGTATTTAAAATAATACATTATTGCACTACATATATGATGTGAATTTAACAACATTTTATAATTCGCTTGATATCACTATTTTAATTCAATAATTGATAATTTAATAGAGTTAATACACAATTTTAACAATTATTACTATTAACTGTTCCGACTTATCCAATTATTGAACACGAAGACGAATTTCTTGGTTTCGTATCAATTGTACTAACTATTTATTATTATGTTCTACTTTTATACAATTCATTATATACGCATAATTATTTTGACTATACATATGTACACATTCAAACATATACTCTTCTAGTACAGTAATAGTAAAAGTTTGAATACCTGCTTGCATGGTACATCAACCAAAATATTTTAGACTTAAGAAGACATTTCCTTGCGAAGATAAATTACTGTTCTGACAAATAACACACGCTGTACGACATATGCGTCTGCTTTTATTCTGATACAAAGATTAAGTAAACTGAAAACTGATAATATCTCTGGTGTCTTATCTTTACGGTTGTAGCTTGCAATTAGAGCAAAAGCAGATATCTTTGAAATAGCATAAAGGTAATGATGAACTTGATGAGACATGTATCTACATTAAAAGCAGCTCACGTACTTATGTAAAGTGTACTTCACAATATAAGGCTCATTGAAATTAGAAAGGAATTCTAAATAAAATATTTCGCATTTTTTTTTTGCAAAAGGTGTTATTAAATTAATGAGCACCAAAATAATAAGCGCGTACTTTGGCACAAGTTCTATATATTTCATTATAAAATTAAAAAATTTATTTCTTTTTAATGAAAATGTAAATAGTAAATCGTAAATAGAATTTTAATGTGCACAATTTAACTAGATAAATTATATGTATAATGTTGAAGAAGAAACAGGTGCGTGTGTTGGAAAATAAAATCTCCATTGAAATATTGATTAAACGGTATTAGATACATTTACAAATTTTTATTCTCTATAATTCTTCTATAATAGTGATATCCTGCGTAGTAAAAGTTTTCCAAGATTTATTATAATATGTAAAATATTTAAATTTCATTAACGTTGTAGTAGATTGATGTTAGAGCACATTAAGGAAAAGAAATAATGACATTCTTGCAAATGCGGCATAAAAGTGAAGAACGTACATACATATATATATAATATAAAAAAGTGCTCCAAGTAACGTAACAAATAAAACTCCTAATGTTTAATACGTTACTGCTTATGTAATTGTTGAAAATTGTTATTGTGTAGAAATGATAATCTCGTAGAAGTTTGGACTAGTTCACGGCCGATTCAATTGGTGCTAATTTTAACTTTTACGTACATTCTATGCTTCTGTAGAACTTGCAACAAAACTCCATCGTCGGGACACACTAGTGTATCGTAACAAGTAACTTTTGTAAATGATCAAACCGGTAGCTTGCATCGTATAAAGTGTACCGTGTCAAGTGTTTTACTGACAAAATGGCATAAAGAGGCAATTGTTCCTTGTGACGAACATGGGTCGACTGCAGTCCTATCATTTTGCGTACAACAATGATAACGCGCGTAGGCATTCATTTCTATATCGCCTCGAAAATGCACAAATATCTATCAGTCTATACCGTTCTATACTTCTTTTCGCATACGTAATAAACGTACTATCGGTAGACAGTAATTGCAGCGGCAATATATTTTACCTTGTACAAACGTCGCAAATGAACAAAATTTGACAAATATAATTGTGTTTAGAGAGTAAAAAAAAATATTAGCGTGTATAACGAAAAGAAGAAAGTTACATATTAAAAAGATATAAAAGAAATTTGTGTCTAATCTCTCCAATAATAAGTATAACTTACAATTAATTCATCTTTGAAGATCAACTTAATTCTTTATATGTGTAATATGATACTTGACGATCTGAATGCGTATGTGGGAAAAGTAACTTTTCTTGAATCTAAAGTTGTTAAAATTTGTCAAACTCAGTTTCATAAAAATTTTTAAGTAAAATTCATATTTAAACTTTATTCAATCCCACGAATTTTCTTATTATTTCCAAGCTAATTGCTTTGTACCATGTATTTAATGAGCAAACTTTTTTGGCATAGTGTTCTAAGATACAATTAAAAATATTTTTTTGTGAAATGTTCCTTAACTTGAAATACTATTAAATTAAAGTAAAATATAGCTTTTATTAAAATAAATAAGGAATATTATTTTATTCTTCACTTTTGTTTTTGACAGCCTCGAGTAATGTGTGAGAAAGCGTAAATTCCATATCATTTGATTATAATATTATCCTCAGTCCTATTACTCGTGTCCGAGCGTGGTGACTTCTCTCTTCACCTATAATATTATAGGAAATCGTAAAACGAAAGGAAGAAATAAACGTTTTTATTAACAAAATTTTTATTAATAAAATGTCAGATTTATTTCTCCAAGAATTTGTGAATAAAAAAGATAAAAAACACGTATTATGTAAAATGTATATTACGTGTTATCCTGTATTATAGATACTTTTTCTCGTTAATATGTCATTCTTAAATATCTGTTTTTTTTTGCAGAAGCAAAAAATTAAATAAAAATAGCAAATTAATCTGAGAAAAATTACTTCAAAAATATGTTATGGTTAACAAAAATTTTCTTCCAACATTTTTTTGTTATTTTAAATAATGTCATTGACACATTTCTTAATATAACTAAATTAATTTTGACATTATATTGGCGTTGCATCAATAAATTCTGTAAAATTTGGGCAATATTAACTGCAATATTAATAAGTAGTTTTTGTCAACTGTCAATATATCAAGAAAGTGTGAAAATAATAATATAGAAATCTTCTTCAGACGCATTAAAAATAATGAAGGTACTTAGAGTTATCACTTTAACAGCACTACTTTATACGATAAAACATGCTACTTACATAATAAAACAAATAACAACGACGACTTTTACGTCGACTTCAAGTTTTATAAACATTGTGTGTGGGATATATTAAACTACTAGTATAGAGCAAAATAAATAATTGTTGAGAGAAAGAGTCAGTAAATTTTGCATAATTTGCACTTATATGTGTATAACGCATAATATTTACTGAGAATATAAATTAAATATATTGTAAAAATAGATTAAGGACAGATACATTTTCTTTTTTTTAAATGGATATCTATATTTTTTTTGGAGAACGCAGTGTCTCTCAAATATTCTTCATAAATATAAAAATACTTTTGATAATACTATAGACTATATAGTGTATGAAAACTACAGAGTTACTATAATGTTATTGATATAATGTTATATATCTTACAATTATAAAATATTTTTACAAGGGTATACAATAGATTTTTCATATTCTGTATATTTTATCGTGCAGCAGTAAAAATAAATAGGTTTATAATAAAAAGATTGGTAAATTTGATCAATTCTACGAGATCTTCAAATTAAGTTTAACATGATATATATATATATTATACATGATTATTTAACATAAAATCACTTATATGTATATTGATGTAAATTTTAGTTGTATATATAAAAAATTATATGATGTGTGATAAAAATTTGAGTAAAAAAATGTCGATAAGGTTATAAAAACTTTTTATTTGCCCTTTAAAGGTAAATTTTGAATATAAACTTCAAGCATTAAGCGGCTTTCGATAATCGTAAATCGTACTTACAATCAGTAAAAAATAATGCTATATGTAATATAATTATACATGTTCGCCGAATCGGTTACGCATTATCCACTTATTGCTGCGGAAATTAATGTGCTAATGCGTGTGTGTGCATCACAAAAGTTGGAAATAAAGGTACCTATACATAAACAAAAATTTATGCGAATGTAAAAAGACTGACACGTTACATAAGGCAACAACTATAAAAAAAAAACTAATAAGAAAAGATAAATATTTCTAACGTAGATATCTCAACATGTGTTTATATAATATTAAAACTTATATTATAAACTGTGTCAAAAACTGACAATGAGATGAGACTCTAAGCGTAACTTATAACATTAAAACGTACATTTTTAATTAGTTTCCAATATTATACAGGAGTGATTGCAATCTTTCTACGACCAAACGTCCGTCGGACATTTTTCTGATGCATATAAATATATGTATATGATGTTAGTACCATCGCTTTCATATTAAGTTAAACTAATATATTCAAACCCTTCTCTTTTAAGTCGTAGAACAAAAGCAAAACCCCTCAGCAATTACCATGTTAGCGGCTTATTAATTAACGTCGCCGGTGTCTGTTGGAACATTGTGTGTCCCTTGCGTAACAATTTTCACGTATGTCGTCTGACGTGTAAGACAGCATGAAAAGCAACTTTAAAATATAATGCGCTAATGCACAATGTTTGTAACATCTGGCCTTGCATCTGGCACATGTTTTGGAGCTGCACAAATTGCACTGTCGAAAACCCGATGAGGCTTTAAGCGTAATTATGAAATTTAGGGCGCACACACACATTAGACTGCGAAATAAAGTATCTGAAATTTTTAGTAAGGATAAAAGCACAATAACACAATAATGGATGGATGGGTGAATAATGAATAATTAGAAAGTTTAAAATACAATTCAAATTAATTAAAACTTTTAGTAATTCATTTATCATAAATTATCCCGTTCTCCAAAACTTGCCTAATCGCAGGAAAAAAGCTATTGTTATTATCTACATGCCATGGCAAAAGTTATTAAGCACCCTATTAAAATAAGTTGTTTTTTTTAAATAACATTTTTTTTAAATAAATAATAAACGCGTTTAATAATAATAAACGCTGCGGTAAACAACTTTTAGACAATATAAATCTTTTTGTGATCAAGACTATCACAATATTTCTCTTGCAAACTGAAGCTTTTAGCCTTAACCAGATTCACTTCAAATATTATTCATTCACATATATCTGATATTATGTGTTTTATCATAAAGAATATTATATATACTTACCAATATAAATTCTTAAAAAAAAAACTGCAATCCGCAAAAATTTCTAGTTATACGGAATACAAACATTATGAAATTTTATACATTTTTTTTCCTAGTTTTAAGTCCAATTTTACTGTCTTTGTCTAAATTAAAAATGTGATTTTCTTATCTCCTTTCTGTTTCTATAATTCTACATATTTTAATTGCATAAACATTTGAGAAATACACAAGATAATTATATCCCTTTTAAAGCCACGTTTTTTAAGCTATTTGGAAGCAAATAATTTGTCGGTTTTATACATACAGATGATAAAAAAACGATATAAAACGTCTACAATAAATTATAAGAAAAATATGAAAGATAATAATTAAAGAAATATAGGTTATATTTCATGACCTTTTTCTGCAATGTGTTAAATTACACTTATTTCTTATTAAAAAATTTTTAATATACTTTTTCTAACAAATACAGCCAAATTTGTTATTAGAATCTCTAATTCAAACATAATTGATCATATCAAGCCCGATGATACACAATACTAGTACACTAAAATTGTATTATGGCATGAATTCGAAATGATTAAGCTGAAATGTCTGTTCTCGAATCCAAATTGATTCAAACGAATTATCAGAACAGGCATGTTCAATTTAACTGAGATCTCATTTAAGATCAAATCTCAATTTAGTTATGCAAAAATAGATAATTGTTTTCTAACATAGCGGTATCTCATACACATGAAGGTAAATGCGCGCGTGGATAATTTTAAAATGCAAGTTGTTGAAATATCTTTGCTAGTAATAATGCAAATTCAAATTAAAGGTAACAATAATTAAAGTTAAAAGTTTTGTATTATATATATAAATTAAAAGTAAATCCAATGAGATAAAGTAGAAAAGATCTCTAACAAATTGTCGCTGTGTTAGCCGCAGCGCATTATTACAGACGCATGAAGTTTGCACGTGTCGTAGATATTTTATAAAGCGTCACGCAAAGCGTGATGATGGGTAATACATGCGGAAAACAACTTAACAGCACCTAAGCGCGATAGCGCTCAACGTAAACTCTCGACATAATTGTGAGGGGATTTTTTAAAGCTTTATTTTCAACTATGCAGAATAGAGGCAATATACGCATGAAATACATTGTTCCCCGATAATGACGTTAGTGTACCTATCGTACGCGTTTACAATAACTATACGGTTAATACCTATGCTTATTGACAATTTTTGAGCACAAATCTTTTAATATCGATACAATTGCTATTTCTCTCTTGCAATAATAAATTATACCTTTTGATTGTAAAGCTAGGACATTTTGCTTATTGTTTGTTCATTTCTATCGATTCGACATATAATTAAGACTAAATTATCAATACATTCGTCAGTATATAATTGCGCTACCGAATATAAAGCATTCCAAACAACTTTCTTATCGTATCTATGAACAATACACGCACGATGCTAAACCTAATTCTCGACATTTGGAGAAATAGAAATGTTTAATAATCGTCTCTGTACGCATATACGGTCAC